GCCATATCTGCCCCTCCCACTGACCGTACTGATCACACCACCCTCCCTTAGCCCCCCAACCTCCCCCCTCACCATTCTAATGCCGCGTCCCTCAGACATGGCCGACCTTGGCCTCAGGGAGACATCCCCCCTGCCTCCACTAACCACCCCCATACCCCCTAAAAAATTTTTAAAACACCCCTCTAAAAAAGCCCTTAATTTCATCTTTTTCCTGTCTGCTGCATACCACCTCTCGGGGCTCCACACCCCGTCATCGAGGCAGGCCCTTGGGATTTTACTGGGCCAGGCCTGCGCGAGGGGGGAGTCGTGCAGGACCAGCAGATCTGTCCTGGAGTACATTCCGGGCAAAGCGATGGGTCCGGCAGCGGGAACCCAAAAAAGGGGAGAAAACAGTCCTCGTGGAGTTGGTCAATTTATATTAGCCATGAAAACCAGCTGGATGACTTTGGGCCTGTCATTCTTTTTTAGTCCAACTGACCTCACAGGGTTGATATTGTGGAGGAAACAGGAGGAAGATATGTTGGATATGTTCGCCGCCTTGAGTTATTTGTAAAAATAATAATAAAGGTGGTATACAAATAAATAATATTGGCACAAACACATACACAAGTGATGATAAAATAGCCACAGCCCACCATATGCATCTAGGTGCAAAACAAAATTTACAGATCAGAGAATCTGATTCATGTTTATACAGAAATTGCTATCCATAATAGAACAAAAACAATAAACATTTAAAAGTAAGACGGAATTTCCCATAACCGTAACCCCATAATAATTCTCCAAGAGCCATGGTAGCACAGTGATTAGATTGCAGGCTAATTCTGTTGACTGATTCTTCTGAGGATGGTAAAATGAGGACCCAGATTGTTGGGGGCAATATGCTGACTCTGTAAACCGCTTAGAGAGGGCTGCAAAGCACTGTGAAGCGGTATATAAGTCTAAGAGCTATTGCTAAAACCCCACATATTAATATGAATAAGAATAAATAAAGAACTTGGGTGGGAAAGACTAAGAAACATGCAGTCCAACATGCACAAAACGACTGATTTTCATTGCTTTGCACACAAAAGCTATTTTCATCTGATAGTTTCTTCCTTGGGGAAACCTCCTGCCTCATGTGCATTTAACACCAGTACCGGTAACTGTCATATGATTTTCTGCTAAAAAAAAAAAAAGAGTAAATGGCTTCTGAATTCAACAAAAATCACTTAACTTTACAAAGAGGGAGGGAGGGATCATATGAGTACGGAAAGTCATTTGTTCATGCTCTCTCACTACGGTGTGTCCATTTGAGAAAGTCAGGGATCTGTATACCAGAGAGACGTGGCATTAAATGCTTTTGGTATAGAAGAACTGCTACATCGGGAAAGGAGGGAGGGAGGGAAGGAAGGAGGGAGGGGGGG